TTTACAAGCACTCATTGGATTTAATATTCTACGTGATTGGTCCTCAAACTGAAAATGAGCTTATGCTCAATGCCGCCACCTCGATCCTGTCGTCACAACTTTGAATCACCGTATATAATAGTTACAAATATTATTATCACAAGGTTATTTAGTGTTCTCGGTGATGAGCGACGTTGTAGAACGTGCGAACTCAACGCGAGCCTCCACCTACTCCTCCACTTCTTCTTTAACTATCGGTGTTCAACGTCAAACTGCTGTCAGAAAAATGATGAAGGGGATCGTAACAGTGGCGCCGAATATTCGGGAATCACCGAAGACTGCTAGTGAAGTGGACACCTCCCCTGGTTCGAGTGATCTGACCAAGCGTTGTGCACCTTCGGATGAGCAGTGCCCCCTTGTTCCACCGATTTCTTGAACGAATTCAGGATACCGAGGAAGAGTTTGATCTACCGTAGGAGTGGGGATCCAATTCCCCGCAGGAGAAGACGTCCTTGCCTTTGGGGGTGGCGACAGATCCCTAATCTCTCTATTTCAACCTTCGAAGCACCATAAAGGGCGACTGTGGCGCCCAGTAGAATCTGCCTACCTCCAGTCCCATCATTTATTATCTCTATTCTTACCAAGATAGCGCTACCCTCGCGTCATCCAGTCATCCCCAAAGGTTGAATGACTTCTTCAGTTGGCGACACAAGTCATCTAAACAGTCGCTGGCGCTTTAGCTGCTTTGACATATGCATTGACGAGCCTGGTTCCTGATGCGAGCCACCGCCGAATGGATCTGCTTGGTGGAGATAACAGTCTCGAGAGGTCTGCACATGCTGTTCCCAGGCAAGATGGCCAGTTGGTATATGCGACACGATCGAGTTCGACTGGAAGCATTAAACCTGTCTCGGGCTCCTGTTAAAGCCAATCAGTTGAGGTACGCCTCGTGAAGGGCACTGCCGGAGGGGTACCATTCACGAAGACTGTTGACAACCTATGAAAAATCATCTCGGGTCGGCATAAATCAAATTGACTCCCTATCAGAATACCTTTTCACAGTCCGTTGGAGATATCCGCTTCCTCACCCCATCAAATTACGCAAAGATAGCGGCCTCGCTCTTCGGGTTTGCTCGGGCGCTGATAGCCACGCAATGCTATGCCGTCTCTTCTGTGGGGTCTGAGAGCGGGAAGAGGGTTGGGGAATCTGGCTGGGTGGGTCGAGCCACACCCCAGGGGGCACCCACCCGAAGTGAACACACCTAACTGTCCATTGCGTCATAAGGGAGAGAGAAAAATTCCGGTGCCTTTTCAGAATAAATCCCATTTCATTGATACGCTCGCTTTGCCTGATCGTTCGCTTGATCGACTTCTGCACTTGGAAGGGTATCATGCCGTAGCCGTATCTAGGTTGCCGGGCTGCTCCAAAGTAATGAAAAAAGCGTTCCATTCATTTCTGTAGATACGAAGCTCAAGCCTTGGGAGTTCCGATTTGACCACCGACTGCCGTTGAATTGCTATAGGTTTTTAGCTGTCATTTAAACGAGGGAGTCTCCTGAAGAATGTCAATGGACCTGAGGAACAGTAACAGCGAGTCCCGCTAGAGGTGATGGAGCAGGAGGCATTGCGTACATTTTGCGTATACGTACCCAGCATGGTATCTTGCACTTACGTTTATGTAGTCGTCGAGAAATCATTTCAAGAGTCGTTGATCGTCATGCATATTTGGAGAAACCTGCCGGATGCTGCAGGACAGCAGCCGCACCCAACAGGCGTGGACCAAAGCTTGGTTGCACGGTCCGTACGATAAGGCCATGATTAAAGAAAATGAAAGGAATCGATGAAGCAGTAAACTTGGCTGTTGGGTGATGGGGCATCATCTAAGACGTCTTCCTCTGGTCGATCTGGATGTAAGCGGAGTTCAAACTCTGTTGCACCAGCCAGGAGCTCGATAAGCGCTTTATCCATGGAAATTCCTTGCCTCTCTAAAAAAATCAGGGTTATAAATTTGACCACCCCTCTATACGGGTAATGATTATTTCACTTCCTTGCATTACACCAACTGTTCCAAAGACAAACCATGTTTCATTGAAACAGCCCCTTCTGCATCCTATCTCGAATATTTTGCATTGCATTCATTACGGTTTGTTCATTGATCACTATTTCGGATGTGTCTGCCCTTGGTCTACTGACACGAGACGCAATAGCCGTCGAATCGGTCTCCACAATCACTCTGTGAAACGTTAGATTGTCATTAAGGGTATCAATGGAATTGAATCCAACATACCCTTCGTCAATGGTCTCGTCTAAGCATAGCAGTGCCAAATCCAAGTTTTCGAGGACAGACCTCTTCTCCACCTGATTTCTGAGCAACATTGATAAAGAATCCATGTAGGCGGTGAGGGCGGCATTGAGCATAAGCTCATTTTCAGTTTGAGGACCAATCACGTAGAATATTAAATCCAATGAGTGCTTGTAAA